TATTGTTGTTGTTGCTCATCTTCAAAGACTAGCAAGACTAAATCTAATCCCTGACATTATGCACGTTACCATCTGGAACCAATAATTGATTGTCCGTAAGATCCTGCCTAGAGAACCGCAGACAAGCATGAATATGATCAGAGGCCACTTGCTCATCAGAAAACTCGATGCAGACTTCGAAACACTTGGAACCCTCAAAAAATTTTCAAAGATCTAAGATGCCCACAAAGGAAGCGGGTAGGGTGGTTTGATCTTGCCGGTTGCTATCAAGTGCCAGACAGCCACCCGGCCGATGACTATTTTTTGATTTTCTTCAGTTTGTGAGGGGGTAGATTGATAACAGAGGTGCACCAGTTGAACAAGCCAAGTGGTTTGATTCCTGCACTTAATCATGAAAAAAAGCTCCATGTCGGTGAGAGGCGTAAAAGTTACCAAGGCATCTCCAGCACCGGCCTTAGCCAGGGAGTCTTATTGTCCAAAATGTCAGCATGGGAAGGAATCCATTCTCATCAGACAAGGAGAGATGCTTCACATTTTTAAGAATATTCACTTGTATATTATCTCTCACACTATGAAGACAGGCCAAGTGCAGAAAAGAACTTCTGGTATCAGAGACGATCCAGATTTCTTTTCCATCTTTCACATCATAGTAATTCCTGAATGTTATATTGCAAGTTAATTGATAAACTTCTAAATCATAACAGTTTATTTCTATAAATTTCAGAGCATTTCTTTTGTAAGATTTTACTTGAAGAGGCGTATGTTTCGATGAAATATCAAAATAAGATTTTTTCTGCTCCAGATGTCTACTAATGACCACAAGCTACTGAAATTACTCTTCATTTTTCTTTCATGTTAATTGCGTTTCGATTTTAGCCATAACATATTCTAGTTTACTGTAGCTTCAATGAGGGGAACAGATCAATTCTTAAAATTTACTTTCACTGGATAGCACTGTAACGAATTTGTTTTACAACCTTCTGACGGGCACGGGTTTCACTAAGAAAGCTCAAATTTCCGAAAACGGACATGACAAAGAGGTATTTTCCTGATTTTAATTTCAAGAGACCCATAGTATTTTATACCTGAATTTATGTACTTTTAGTATATTGCCCTAATTTCTTGGATATATTTGAAGATGTACGTACGTATGTATATATTCCTAAAGACATCACAAACATATTTTAGCCCGTCGGAGGGTTAAATCTGCTTTATCTTGGAACTTGAGTAACATGTTCCACGTGGTCTGCAAGTAGTACCGTAAAACTATTCAAGTCATCTATTGGTGATACCCACTACTTTTTCTTTCCTTTCATTGCTTCTGAGCTGGATGCTTTTACTCTCAAGTTTGAGTGGATATTTCTTCTTGCTCCTGTATAATTTTCACAAGGAACTTAGCTTAGCTTCCATCTGGTTTAATTCAAATTTGCAAAAACTTTGAAAATCTTATTTAGACTGAAATTCATCTGAATATTAGGATTACAAACATCAGCTTCCGAAGCAACTATAGAGGTGGTTTCATAACGATGAGACACATTTCATATGTAATATAGAAGGATATGAGTAATTTGATATACTTGTACGTTAATCTTCTTGAAATCCAATTCATATGAGTTTATTTTGTCATTTTTTGTCATTTTATTAAAATGATTATTATGGAAGGAAAAGTTTAAACCTGCTACAATAACGTCAATGGGGTTTAAAAAATGTCCTTTCCAGGTGTAATAATACCTCATTTCTTCTAGTACAACGAGTGAAATAATAAGTCTAAATTACAGCACAATTCGTATTAAATTTATCTGCGAATTCTTGCATATCCGTGATTTCTGCTTTTCAGATTTTAAGTCACTGTTTTTTTAATAAATTATAGATGAATTAATTTGTAAAAAAATTTTATAAACTATAAAGAAATGCATAATGAAACACAAAAGCATTTCTCTCTATATATTTTTTTTTTATTTTTGCTCAGAAAAGCTACAACAGACATTCTCAGGTTTTATTTCAAGAACCAATCTTTTATTCATTTTATTTAAATAAATAACTAATTTTCTCATGAAGAACAAAGTGCCCACCAGCGGCCGAGCGGTAAAGTCGCTGACACTGGTAGTTCGGTCCGAGGTTCGAATCACGCGAAAGGGCTGGCTGCATGGGCGCTTTCGTGGTTTCCCCATGTGTAACGTGTATACGAGCCAGTTTCCCTTAGAAAGTTCTCCACGAAGGCATCCGTATCCTTAGGAAGATAGCCCTCGAGGCTTTGCCATAATCACACACACACACACACACACACATAATGAACAAGATTTTTCATTGATTAGATTTGCATAAAAATTTAACGGAATGTGAAAATTATTGGAAAAATTTTATTTGGAATTAGCTTTTCCTGTAAACGCATAAAACCGCTTTGTCAAGCAGATATACTGTGTAGTAAAAATGCCAAATTGAACATTTTGAAGTATTGTCACAACATTTTCCATCACCTGGTGCAGCTTAGAAATTTTTAATCTGCTTGGATGCCTACTGAAACGAAATCTTTTATTATGCACAATGTACTTATGTCGAAGGTATCGGAAAGGGTTATATATTTTTTCGGATATATCGGAAACTTTTATTGTTTCATTAAAAAGAACACAATTAAAAAATATCAGTGTTCGCATTTGAAATGAAATGGCATCGAATGCAGTTGATTCAAATTTCTGTTATGAAATATTTATAATAATATAGAATTGTGCTTAGTTTTTCTTTTTGCTGCACTAATTAAATTTTAATATAGCTTCCCATTCCTTGAGATGAAATCTTTAAACTTAGTTAACAAAAATTAGTAGCATTTGACCTTTGACATTACCACATGACCTCTCAAACAAATACGTTAGTTATAGCTTCACAATGCGGGAAGCATGGAAGCTTCGATATTTAGTAGTTGCTGCTGTATATTTTAAAAGCTGGTTTTATGATTGCAAGGAAAGTTTCCTGCAGAAAATTAAACCGACGATTCAACATACTTAACTTTCACGCGCCTCTTATAAGAATAACAATGTATGTTTCATTTGTCCTTCTAAAGTTTATTATGAGATAAAGTATGAAAAGAAGTTCTTTTCATTGGTCATTACCTCATGTTCTACTTAAAGAATTATGAATGTAGCAGAAAACTTCCATAGTTTTAAAAAATTATTACTGCGCTCTCATGTTTTGAAATGAAAAATCTTTTAGTACGACCATTAAGTTAAATACCATAATCATTACCCATATTAAACTTAACAAGCAAATTTCAAGCACAAAATAAAAATTTATTAATCAGACATGCGTGAAATTAAATAGATTTATTATTTAAATTGTTTTTAATTATATATAGCAAGATACTTGTTTTTAATTTAATAAAATACGAATTTCAATTAATTTCGTGCGCTGGTTACAATAGCGCATCTGTAGAGAAAAGGAAATGTCAATGAGAAGTATTAGAGCAGGCAGAGAAGGAAAAACTGTAGATTGATTTAGATTTTAAATAAAAATGTATGGATTTCAAGTATCAATCTGTTATCAACTTTTCTTACCTCATTTTCTCATGACTAGCGAACAGAAATTCAGATACAACGCAAACATGCGCAATATAGCCGTAATATTATTATTATTGATTAGTGAAGGAATATTAATATTATCATTTCCCACGCTTAATTTGTAGAATGAAAGCTGATTTTAATAATTAGCCATTATTCACGCTTTGCGAAAATGGATTTTTATGTTAAACTAAGAAAGGAATGAAAGATAAACGAAAATGGTTATAAATGTTTATAAAATAGTAAAATAGGAATTTATTTTAGTTTAAATGGGGATAAAGTGTTACTGACATCAGATTGGAGAATATAACTGTAGTGCTATTTTAAACGCTCCGTCAAAAATGCGTACAAAGATTACTAGGAGTGTAACGTTATGAACTAGGAATTACGTTTAAAATATTCTCTTATATAAAATATGAACTAGGAATTACGTTTAAAATATTCTCTTACATAAAATAAAATTTAAAATATTTTTAATTTCTAAAAGTCATTTAGATATTTAAAATTATTAAACAAGTATAGGGAGTTATGTTACATTAAATCATTTCATTACGTGATTAATTGATAAACTATTTGATGATGTAGCTTAATATAATTTTTTTGGATAAAGGTTCTTTTCCTCAATTTTTCATTTTAAAATATTCTATAGGAAGTTTTTAATTACCTGAACGGCAACATGAACAGCTTTATTCAGTTTATGAGTCCATAAAAACTGTAAATTCCTTCCATGTTAAAATAATATTAATAAAAAAAATTATTTAGCATTCCAATGTAAGATAAACAAATTATAAAATTAAACATGTTACAATACCTCACATTAATAAAAATTAAATAAAATATTAATTAAAAAGACTGATACTATTTCTTATTAAATAAAAAACGTATTTGGATATTCAAAGGATACAGATGCTAAATGCATTACCAGGAGCGACACATAAATGTATGGCATGTCATTAGCATGTATGTGTTTATGAATAAAAATACGCAAGCACAGTCATACATAAGCCATTAGTTATGCAGTGCTACTCACATTGTAATAAAATATGTTAAAAACATTGTGTGCATGTAATAAAAATGTATCATTTTATATATTTCTGAAAAAAAAGGAACGAATATATTTGTAAGAAAAAATCCATAGTTAAATATCTTTAGAGACATTATTTTGGTTATAATGATTATACATTTACATAAAGCACTTAATGCTGATCTATTTCTAGGCAATACATGAATATTTTACACTAAATAAACAATCGATTTGTGTACATGGTTTTGAGCTGCATTTTAGAAGAGAAAACACTTCCCTGTTAGCAGCAAAATTATTGTAAAACAAAATTGGTTTTTGAAAATCCATTATCGTTAAATTCAAGCAACCTTTCATTTATCGCAATACATTTGACTTTGGTGATACTACCTTTATAAATTTTACTAAACGTATGCAAAAGAACTTACCTTTAAACAGGCAGCTTATAAAAAAGAACACTTGAACAATGCAGATCCAACACATTGTGAAGAATCCTGAGCTTTATATGTGTGTACGTGAATGCGAGAGAGACAGTATAGAAAGTAGAGGGCAGTGTTTGAGCAAACAATTCAATCGAGCAAACAGACAGGATAAAAAGGTGACGAGAAAAGTCCGCGGCGACCGCTGCGAGTCAAGAACACTTCGACGAGAACAGTCTTCAAAAACATGTTTGTCCACTTCGTTCTTCCGCACTTCCACCGGAAGACCACCATTCAAAAGCGGAAACTTTAAAAAAATTCAAACACCAATCACCGATGGCGGTTGATCGCAGAGACTTTTCACCGTCACTGTAATGTTGGCTCTCATGCTACTAAAAATAGCTCTTTTCGCGCACAAATAGAGAAAGGTACTTCCAAACTAGGTGAAAGTGCTCTTCGACAATTGTTTTAATGGCTGCTGCTGCTACTGAAACAGCAGGACTACTGCAGCATGTTGAGGAATCAGGCAAGAATTATCTGTAGTGCCACCGGTTGAGAACTCCCGCTCCAAAACTTGTGGACGGAAGTGGTAAGTAAAAAAGGGTGGTGGTGCCTTTTATCTTCCTATTGGAGGTGATGATCAAGGATCCAGATATTGGTGCCAGTTCGGTGTCAGTCCAGCGGTACATCTGTCGCTTCCTGTGACCATCTAGGCATAGGCAGATAACCGGGACACTCCAACTGCGGCGTCGATCTGAGGGGGTCTTGGATCGATTGCTTGGCATTTGCGCAGATGCGACGCAAGAGTGAGGTCCTCACGGCGGCGCTGCTGAATCCACGTAATACGTTAACGTTAGATTCTTCTTTTTTGTTCCTTGTCGCTCTTTCTATTTTTCCATCGCTGTTCTTTTCTTCTTCGTTTCCGAATATGGAAGACAATTTATCACGTGGCGCTCCTTTCTCTTTCCTCTTACCGGGGCACAACCCTTTCTGTGTTTTTTCTACCTTTACTGCACATTATTTTTATATATTAACAGAGCCACCTTTGATTTTTATATGTGATGCAACTGCCTGAATAGCTGAAACATTATTAAAGACCTGGTTGAATAAATTTCAAAGCTATTTACCAAGGGCATACTTTGGTAAGAATAAAGTAACTTTCTGTTCAGAATGATATTTCAGAGATAAAAGTGTCGTAAATACGTTTTATTATACTTTTTCACTGTAATATTTTCAGAAGACAACGTCTACCTGGAAATATATTCATATATTTTATCACTCAGAGGAGAAACTGAATTATATTTAAGAAGTATAGTATATTAAGTCCGGTAAAATATTGCTCTTACCTAAATCAGTTTCATGAAATGGGCCAGATTAAAGAACGAGATCAATTTATTACTGCCCTGTTTTAAACTGGAGATTTACATTTTTTTATGAAATAACATTACTTAATTAGCATTAAAGGAGTTATACTAAATATTAACTCTAGCTCTCTGAACACTGTGGTAAGAATCATTCTCAATTGGTGAGAATTATCTTCAAATTTTTTTCTCAATTTCCTCCGTGAAAAGTATTCTTCAAACCTCCAGTGCTAAAATAACGGAATTTGAACTACTTTGGCTACATGATTTTGCAATAAACACCTTTAGTTTGCTTTTTTTATATAGCCAACTTACAGTCATTCTAATAAAGTACATTGAACCCTGGTATATGTAGATGTATACCTGGAAGTATATTTCTATATAAATTTCAAAAAACATATCCGTTTTAATATACTATATTATTACTAATTTAATATACTATATTATTACTAATTTAATATACTATATTATTACTATATTAATATACTATATTATACTATATTATTACTAATTAATAATTTATAATATAATATATAACAGTTTTTATAATAATATGTTAATATGTGATTTTGCTTATTTATTATAAGAGAACCTGAGAACTAGTCTTGACTATCATCATTCAATTAAAAAAACTTCTATAAAAAGAAGTAAAAGAAGTGTAAATAATGTATACATAATTCAATCCAAGTTCATTAGTATGTAGCAAAAAGTATAAAATAAAGCTAAAATTCAGTATTACAACAAAACTTTCATTAGTTTCTTCAGTTATTTAAATGTTTCTTCTGGCACCTCTTAAAACAAATATCTCAAAGACGATATATGTTGTTATTGTTATTAATCTGCCTATTAATATATTAATTATTATATCTATTAATTATTATCTGTTATTAATCTATTAATTATGGTTATTGTCTCTGAATCAGAGCAAGCCCATGAAATTCATCGAGGCAAGAAGTCAACACTTAGTCTGTCGTTGCCAACAGCCTTGTGCGCCATACAAATAATAGTGCGACTTTGCTTAGAGCCCTCCCCCCCCTGAATTTTGAAAGACAGCAACCCGGTTTACAAACTTCCATGCTTTCTCCAAGATTCAAACCCGGGCCCTCCAGCACGGTAGTCAAACTCACTAACCACAGCCGGCTGGACGGAGCTGAAATACGTATATTCAGTTACCTTGCATTATTGAAAACAGCAAGAGCTGTAAAAGTCTTATTTTAGCCATTAATTTTTAATATTTCTGTTCAAATTTATTTTTTAAAGTTCTGTCCCTAGTCTAGTGAAATCATATAGGATAACACATTTTTATCTTTTTATCATAATTTATGTTCTGACACATTTTATTTTTGCTGCTTGAAGTGATCGTTTTATTTTAACAGCTGCGATTTTCAGTTATTCGTTCATTCTCGAATTTTGCTTTTATTATCTTTTAGCCACCTGAGTAAAATGTTTCAGCAAGTTTGAACTAAATTATTTGCCTCACTGCACTTTTAATTCGCAAAGTATTTAAAAATTTAAAATTAGATTTAAATATAAATGGTTTTTTAACAGCAGAAATCTGGTATTATGGTTTTGACTTCAGAAATTTGTGTCTTGGCAAAGAAATGTTTCCACTTTACCTGCGGAAAATATTGTTTCAAGCCTCGCAAGTAAGCGATCTAGTGAAAAAAAAGCTTGATTCATAGACTCTTTATTTAGTTTGTGAAGCCCCATTTTCATGCTATGTCCTGGAAGAAATCCCATAAATTGTAATATATTTTCTATATCTGTGCGTTACTTCTTTAAGAGCCCACAAGCGACCGAGCGGCAAAGTCGCTAAACACTGATAGTTCGGTCCGAGATTCAAATTCCGCGAACAGACTGGCTGCATGGGCGTTTTCGTGGTTTTCCTTATGTGTAACTTCTATACGAGGCAGTTTCCTTTAGAAAGTCCTCCACGAAGGCATCCTTCCCCTCAGCTCTTGAGGCTTTGCCATAATCACATAAACCAAACCTTCTTTTAGACAAATAACTTCATTCATAGCATTGATATTTATAGTTTTAACGCTCAGAAATATTATGATAGGTACACTTTCGGCATAAACAGCTATGAAACAAATTTTTTTTACAGATACATAAGCATTTTTCTGAAAGTTTCTAGCTATAAAAATTCTGAAGATCTTCTTTGTTGCTCATTAACTTCACAGATAGTGTTTATTTGAATTTTTTTAACATAGAATCATTTTATTGAATCATGAGATACATGATTTATACATTTTTCGAATCAACATAATCTGGTTTCGCTTTTTTAAGTTACGATTTTTAGAAAATGTTTCATGTCCCTTAATGACTTATAATAAGTCTTCCCACGTTTTTCTCAATCTTTAATGTTTGCTCATCTATCTAAATAAAATTACAAACTTAAAATATTTTGAATAGTACTACATTGGATTATTAACATGGTCAGAAGGTTGAAAAACTATCCGAGAAGAAAAAATTAAAATACCGATCTGAAAACTACTGAACCTTACTGAATTTTTCTCGGTCTCTATAATAAAGGAAAAAAGAAGCTCAGTAAGGAAGATTTCTTAACACTAAACTCTGCTCTTTTCCTGGGTCTAACTTGGGATAAGTACTTATAGTATACTAACCATCCCAGGCAGCTCTAAATTAAATGTAGTCTACATTACCTAAAGAGAAAGCCATAGTTTCTTTCCATATTCAGTTAAAAAAGTAATATCATTTGCTTTATTTGCTTATAAATTAAACCAACGCACGTTTACTCATTCGAGAACGAGAGGAACTGTCCTAAAATAATTCAAGAGCATTTCTTGGTCATAATCCCAAATAATATTATTATCAGTATTTTATTGTAAATTGCTTAGTGATACATTCATTAGTGATTTAAAAGTAAAACATTTGCAATATTCAAATACATTATAATGCATTCAAATGCAATAATTTCTCCTAGTTTAAGGTATTTAGAATAAACTGACGTTATGCATTTTTAAACTCATAAATTTAAAACAGTTTTCTGTTAATCTCTTAACTTGTTTGGAAATCGTTTCTATATTTAAATACTTAATATATTAATTTAAAAGGAGAAACTATGCGATCTTGTAATAATTTTGAAAGACGGGAGCATTAAATGGCTCTTATCAAAAATATTCTTATTATAAGAATCAGAATTATTCATAATAATTCTTATTCTCTATATTAAAAGTGTAATTAATGAGTAATTGAAAATATTCTGAATGGACATCATATGATGTCAAATCACTGTCCGCGAAACTTTTATCAGAAGAAATATTAAAATATTCCAAACACTCCAACTTTTCCTTATCTTTTAAAAAGTGACATAATTATCTTAATTAAACGGTCCTTAATTTAAGCGCATTTTATTTTGAAAATTATGTATTGTCGAAAAGCTTATAAATTAATTATTCCTACAAAATATGTTAGTCCATTATTGTAAAGGACTAACATATTTTGTAGGAAGTTAAAGAAACGTTGTAATCGCGAAAGAATTCAGTTATACGGTTTCAGCGAAAATATACATTTTTACCGTTTCCGAATTTATTTTAGCTTTTTTTTTTTAGCGTGACGTATGTACGTAAGTACATAGGGAAAAATTATTTTTTCCAAAGCGGATTGTAAAATGGATTATTCAAAACGCATTTAGAATGGATTATTTTCATAACGTCTATATCTATGTACTTATATATCTCGCATATCCCAAAAACGATTAGCAGTAGAACGTTGAAATTTTGTATATGGAACTGCTATAGCATCTAGTTGTTCAATTCCCCTTTTTTTGGCAATCGACAGTACCAGCTTACAGAGCTTTTATTTTCGCAATCGATCACTGTAATCTTACACACTTCCAAATACAGAAATATTTTAAATGATGGAAATATTCATGTTTTAGAAATTATCAAACTTTTAAAAAACATAATTTTGGGTAAATAACGAAGTTTAACTTTTAATGCGTTTTCTCGAATCGTATACTTATATTTGGGAAAACTTTAGACTCGTTATGAAAAAATGCAAATTCAAGAAGTTTGACGCTCTTACGATAAAAATGGCCCGGGATATTTAATTTCAAGCTTTGCAATTTTTAATGTCATTTTCAACTTGCCTTCAAGAATCAGTTACTCAAGTTAAAACAATTCGATTAAATAAGTTTAAACGAAGTACAGTAAAAAGTATGTATAATATAATAGGTCGTAAAAGGAAGTTATGTGCTGTCCACGCAAAATTTTTATTAGATCTGTTGCTAACCAACTAACAAAGCTCTCGTATCAGAAGTGCACAGAAGGCTCCAATGCTTGCGAGATCAAATGAA